CCAGTCCCTGTTGGTATATACCATGACTGAGGTCCAGTCCCTGTTTGTATATACCATGACTGAGGTCCAGTCCCTGTTTGTATATACCATGACTGAGGTCCAGTCCCTGTTTGTATATACCATGACTGAGGTCCAGTCCCTGTCGGTATATACCATGACTGAGGTCCAGTCCCTGTTGGTATATACCATGACTGAGGTCCAGTCCCTGTTTGTATATACCATGACTGAGGTCCAGTCCCTGTTGGTATATACCATGACTGAGGTCCAGTCCCTGTTTGTATATACCATGACTGAGGTCCAGTCCCTGTCGGTATATACCATGACTTGGGACCAGTCCCTGTTTGTTTATACCATGACAGAGGTCCAGTCCCTGTTGGTATATACCATGACTGAGGTCCAGTCCCTGTTTGTATATACCATGACTGAGGTCCAGTCCCTGCCGGTATATACCATGACTGAGGTCCAGTCCCTGTTGGTATATACCATGACTGAGGTCCAGTCCCTGTTTGTATATACCATGACAGAGGTCCAGTCCCTGTTGGTATATACCATGACTGAGGTCCAGTCCCTGTTTGTATATACCATGACTGAGGTCCAGTCCCTGTTGGTATATACCATGACTGAGGTCCAGTCCCTGTTTGTTTATACCATGACTGAGGTCCAGTCCCTGTTTGTATATACCATGACTGAGGTCCAGTCCCTGTTGGTATATACTATGACTGAGGTCCAGTCCCTGTCGGTATATACCATGACTGAGGTCCAGTCCCTGTTTGTTTATACCATGACTGAGGTCCAGTCCCTGTCGGTATATACCATGACTGAGGGCCAGTCCCTGTTTGTTTATACCATGACAGAGGTCCAGTCCCTGTTTGTATATACCATGACTGAGGTCCAGTCCCTGTGTGTATATACCATGACTGAGGTTCAGTCCCTGTTTGTATATACCATGACAGAGGTCCAGTCCCTGTCGGTATATACCATGACTGAGGTCCAGTCCCTGTTTGTATATACCATGACTGAGGTCCAGTCCCTGTTTGTATATACCATGACTGAGGTCCAGTCCCTGTTGGTATATACCATGACTGAGGTCCAGTCCCTGTTTGTATATACCATGACTGAGGTCCAGTCCCTGTCGGTATATACCATGACTGAGGTCTAGTCCCTGTTTGTTTATACCATGACTGAGGTCTAGTCCCTGTTTGTTTATACCATGACTGAGGTCCAGTCCCTGTTTGTATATACCATGACTGAGGTCCAGTCCCTGTCGGTATATACCATGACTTGGGACCAGTCCCTGTTTGTTTATACCATGACAGAGGTCCAGTCCCTGTTGGTATATACCATGACTGAGGTCCAGTCCCTGTTTGTATATACCATGACTGAGGTCCAGTCCCTGCCGGTATATACCATGACTGAGGTCCAGTCCCTGCCGGTATATACCATGACTGAGGTCCAGCCCCTGTTTGTATATACCATGACTGAGGTCCAGTCCCTGTCGGTATATACCATGACCATGACTGTCCCTGTTTGTATATACCATGACAGAGGTCCAGTCCCTGTTGGTATATACCATGACTGAGGTCCAGTCCCTGTTTGTATATACCATGACTGAGGTCCAGTCCCTGTTTGTATATACCATGACTGAGGTCCAGTCCCTGTTGGTATATACCATGACAGAGGTCCAGTCCCTGTTTGTATATACCATGACAGAGGTCCAGTCCCTGTTGGTATATACCATGACTGAGGTCCAGTCCCTGTTTGTATATACCATGACTGAGGTCCAGTCCCTGTTTGTATATACCATGACTGAGGTCCAGTCCCTGTTTGTATATACCATGACTGAGGTCCAGTCTCTGTCGGTATATACCATGACTGAGGTCCAGTCCCTGTCAGTATATACCATGACTGACGTCCAGTCCCTGTTTGTATATACCATGACTGAGGTCCAGTCCCTGTTTGTATATATCATGACTGAGGTCCAGTCCCTGTTTGTATATACTATGACTGAGGTCCAGTCCCTGTTTGTATATACCATGACTGAGGTCCAGTTCCTGTCGGTATATACATTGTACCAGTAAAGATAAAGCAGTGCATTAATTGTCTGATTCAGTATTTTCCTTAGTAACTGACCTGAAATATCAGCATCTTTTAAAAAAGAAATGTTTCTTGGAGTTAAAAGAATCTGTCTGTTCATTTTGCCAAGCTGACCCAGAAAGATAATAATTCTCCCTGTCTTGTTCAGTGCTGTGTTAATCTATTGATTTGTCATCTCAGTGTCAATTCCTGTAGTGAGGACCTCTATTACACTGAAACAACTGTAGGGACCCAGGAAACATTACAATATTACTTAGGTAGATTTGCTTTACCTAGAGAAAACATGTTTCCTGTGTACACTGTGTATATCTCTGTATATAGTGAACCATTACCATAAGCTTAGAATATTTCTCTTTTGCACATTAAGTGGAATATAAGCCTAGTGTACCAATGATTGCTGACATGGCCCCTAGTGGTTCTCCATTCGGATCTAACATTAGACCTTATTGAAATAAAAAAGAGTTCTGTTAAAGTTTGGAAGAGTCTTCCTTCTCATACAAATGTTGAAATTCTATCCTATTTCAAATAAGGTTTAAAACTCTCCACTAAGAATGTCATGTAAGAACTCTTTTCATGTAAACATTTTTTTAAACGATTTAACCCATTATATGCAAAATACACAAAGGAATGCTTTGAAACATTTTGATAAACTGTAGATCCTGAATATATTTCTGATATATCAGCCACTCTTCTGATATTTGCCAGTCACTTTTCTCATATTTACCAGTCACTCTTATGATATTTGCCAGTCACTGTTCTGATATTTACTAGTCACTCTTCTGACATTTACCAGTCACTCTTCTGATGTTTGCATGTCACTCTTCTGATGTTTGCATGTCACTCTTCTGATATTTGCCAGTCACTCTTCTGATATTTACCAGTCACTCTTCTATTTGCCAGTCACTCTTCTGATATTTACCAGTCACTCTTCTGATATTTACCAGTCACTCTTCTGATGTTTGCATGTCACTCTTCTGATATTTGCCAGTCACTCTTCTGATGTTTGCATGTCACTCTTCTGATATTTGCCAGTCACTCTTCTGATATTTGCCAGTCACTCTTCTGATATTTGCATGTCACTCTTCTGATGTTTGCACTCTTCTGATATTTACCAGTCACTCTTCTGATATTTACCAGTCACTCTTCTGATATTTACCAGTCACTCTTCTGATATTTACCAGTCACTCTTCTGATATTTACCAGTCACTCTTCTGCTATTTACTAGTCACTCTTCTGATATTTACCAGTCACTCTTCTGATATTTACCTGTCACTCTTCTGATGTTTACCAGTCACTCTTCTGATATTTGCCTGTCACTCTTCTGATATTTACCAGTCACTCTTCTGATATTTACCAGTCACTCTTCTGATATTTGCCAGTCACTCTTCTGATATTTGCCTGTCACTCTTCTGATGTTTTACCAGTCTCTTATACTGTGAGATTATGATCACTTGACCCATAGATATATTCTACCATTAAGTCGAGATATATTCTACCGTTAAGTCGAGATATATTCTACCATTAAGTCGAGATTCTACCCATAGGGTGTCAGTTGTACCCATAGGTTGGTCATTTTAGCAATAGGTAGTTGTAGATTATAGGTTGTATGTAAGATAAAGCAGTGTATTCATTGTCTGATTCAGTATTTTCCTTAGTAACTGACCTGAAATATCAGCATCTTTTGAAAAAGAAATGTTTCTTGGAGTTAAAAGAATCTGTCTGTTCATTTTGCCAAGCTGACTCAGAAAGATAATAATTCTCCCTATCTTGTTCAGTGCTGTATTAATCTATTAATTTGTCATCTCACAGTCAATTCCTATAGTGAGGACCTCTATTACACTGAAACAACTGTAGGGACCCAGGGAACATTACAAAATTACTTAGGTAGGTTTGCTTTACCTAGAGAAAACATGTTTCCTGTGTACACTATGTATATCTCTGTATGTAGTGAAACATTATCATAAGCTTAGAATATTTCTCTTTTGCACATTAAGTGGAATATAAGTCTAGTGTATCACTCTTCTGATATTTGCCAGTCACTCTTCTGATGTTTTACCAGTCTCTTATACTATGAGATTATGATCACTTGGCCAATAGATATATTCTACCGTTAAGTCGAGATATATTCTACCGTTAAGTCGAGATATATTCTACCGTTAAGTCGAGATATATTCTACCATTAAGTCGATATTCTACCCATAGGGTGTCAGTTGTACCCATAGGTTGGTCATTTTAGCAATAGGTAGTTGTAGATTATACAAATAGGTTGTATGTAGGATATACCCTTAGGGTGTAGATTGTACCCATATGTTGTAGTTTGTACCTAGAGGGTTTAGATTATACCCATAGATTAAAAAGTTTAGGCACAGGCTGTAGATTCTACCCATGGGTTGTATGTAGGATATACCCTTAGGGTGTAGATTGTACCCATATGTTGTAGTTTGTACCTAGAGGGTTTAGATTATACCCATAGATTAAAAAGTTTAGGCACAGGCTGTAGATTCTACCCATGGGTTGTATGTAGGATGTACCCATAGGGTGTAGATTCTACCCATGGGTTGTAGAGCCTGCCCATAAGATGTAGATTCTATCGTGTGTATTATTTGCAGTCCCATCATGCATCTGTCAGCATCTAAATTTTATTTGTAATGTAAATGTGCAGAGTTCTGTTGTTAACACATTCCTTTGCATAAGTCACACTGTAATACATACATTTTATGTGATACATGTGTGATACTTCTGTCTTGATGAATTTATCATACATCTGAAAGGTCCTCAACAGTCTGTTTTAAAAGGGAGACAACTCAACACAAATCACTGATACCAGGTACCTATGATACTGATGAGGTGTGAAATAAGATATAGAATAATAAATAAACATTTATTGCATTATCTCTTCCTTTCAGATATTTCCAGCATGGTAGTTATCCTTTAGTAAGTCCATACAACGCTTCCTACCCTGCAGACTTTTATTTGAATCGTTCTGACCTTCATCATATTGAGGTCAAAACCAACAATCTCTCTTACCCACATCATGTGTCCAGTCCTAAACCAGGGATATGGTTTGTAACAGCTTTCTTACCAAAAACAGAGGAAAAAATTACACAGAAGGTAAGACAGTGTATAGAAGTTAGCAATCTGAAACTGATTTGTACTATTGTTTATATCAGAGGGGAAGAGGGGGGGAAACATTTGATGAAAACTTCAGGATACATAAAGTTTGGTTAAAAAGGAAAGTGCTCAGTTGGAAAAGCATTTCTGTGAAAGTGGTGCTTTACAAAAACTACATGTATTTGTATAACATTTCTCGTGGACAGCACTGATGGAAATACTTCTTCTCTTTTCAAATACTCTTCACATGTGTTTATTGTTTCAGGGTTTAAATGGGAAAACCTGTGGATATGGTATGGGGATACGATTTATAAATCGTCTTCTGAACAACATTGAGGATGTATCGATGACCAAACATTCTAAAGTGTCTATACGATCACCAGCCTTGTTCACCATACTAAAGTAAGGATAGTGAAAGAGGATGTTTTATAAATAATGTTTCAGTAGAGGAACTTTGGTACCCGATTTTAGTCATGTCTTGTATTGTAACAGAAATTAAATTTAAGTTGGTGGATTTGCCGTAGCATCAACAATGTGCATGATGGGACTTGAGAGAAGGTCTTAAGCATAGTTAGAAGAAAGGTTTGGCCTGTCAAAAGAAGATGACTGAGATACACCATATTATAGAAGTGCTAACTTGGTGTGATAAATTATGCTTTCCTGAAGGGAGCTATCAGAGCAAATGATTCCAAAGATTTGAAAGTATCTCTGAGTGAATATTTTTGCCCTAAGGCTTTAATCCTTGCTGCAGCTTTTTCTTTTTTGTTTTCATGACTAGAACTGACATTTTTATACAGTAAACCATCCACTCTTTCTCCATTCAAGTCCGACTTTACCAAAGTTTTCTTATCTCTAGTATTTGAAATCATTTTGTTTTTATAGATTTCTACCTCCAGAGGTCACCACAGGTTACACACTTTATCTCAGTCATTGTGTGGTGGACAAGGTCAATGTCAGTGTGTGTCCAGTCAAGGTCACCGTGTCATCAGAGCATCTACCCAATGTGTGGTCAGCGACAGATCCCTCTGTAGACTGTCGAGAACAGAATGATGATTGCCAAATTACTATTGACAGACTGGTGGCTGACCAGTACAACTATGTACAGGTGGATGTGCCAGATAATGTCACGGCTTCGTTAGTGGAATTCCATGTCAGCTTTTCAGTACTACGTAAGGCTCTGGAGATGTCCAGCAATATTCACATTTTGATACATTTGAAATGATAAATCATATTCAGCTTTGAAACAGTTTCTTTTTTTTGATAGTTAGTGAAAAGTGCATTTTATCTGAAAGTGGTTGTTTTGAATTACAGGGAAAATGTTTTGTTTCAATTTTGTCAAAATTAATGATGAAATTGTATTTTCTTATATTTTTTCTGGGGATGGTTGTTCTGGAAAAGATGATTTGTAAGAGATTAAATGTTTTGGATTTAAAAGTAAAAGAAAACAATGATTATAAAATTTGAGAAAATATTTGAAGAATTATGGAGGATTCACCATAGACAAGGCATCAGAAAAAGCCCATATTTTTTTGGCTTTATTAATTTTCTGGGTTTGAAATAAGTATTTTGGGGAAAACCTTCATTGAAATTGTTGAAAGTCAGAGGGTAGATTTGCTGCCGTTAATTCTATGAATGACAATCCAAACTATTCCTTTTCAGGATGTCAGTTGAGGTACAAACTTGAAGATGCACTGAAACGACGAAAAGGTATTCTTTACACACCTGATTCGATCAAACATGTAATCAGCTCGAAAAACAAAAACAGCACCAGTGACATGGATGATGTGCTTCGGTTCATATCTGTGAAATCAAATGAATCTGAAAGCCTCCTGAACTATTCCATAACTACTGAAAATAACCAAACACAGTCTTTACGGGCACATGAGGCTTGTCTGTTCCTGCCGTCACTTGGTACCCTTCGTTTGGCCTCCGAGGACTTTGCCTCTTTATTTGTGTTTCCTGATGCACTCCTGTATCCTCAGCCAAACAACAGGATATTTATCCCTGACAACCTTGTTTTACTGACTCACTATAACATCTACGCCATGCAGGACTCTGGGGGCACGCTCAAGGTTGAGCTACAGATGGTGAAGGATCAGACAGTATGTACCAAGAATATCTCCATCGATTACAAATATTTTTTATATTTCTCAACTTTTGTGAAACTGTTAGCAAGGGCATTTCATTTTGAAGTAATATCTGAAATCTGACAGTGTTTCTTGGAATTGATAAACCCAGGTCAATCTCCTGAATCAAAGTAAAGTTCATTGATGATTAGGTGTTCAACTTATCGGAATATTAAAGTTGTGTTACAACTCCTAATCGGTTTGTAAATGGCATGACATGATCCAGTTTCCATTTTAGAATTTAGAATGGTAGACATTACAAAGATATTGGATATGGACATACAGTAATGAAGCGTCTTTCTTGTCCTCATTCATTGAAATATAAAAAAATATTAATAAAAAAGAGAAAATATAAATGTGCAAAAAAACTCTGTTTCAAATAAAATGTACTGGCTAACTATCTCTTGTTTGGAGAGGGACTTTTGATTTTTGACCATTTCTCTGAACATAATTTATATGTACAGTAAATCTTCTATGATATTGTTGATGATTTTAAGAATCCGATCTGTTTGCCAGAAAGTGCAGCTGAAAGTGATTTTACAGTTTATGAAAAAGAGTTTTATAAATGTACTTTTCTAAGTCTCAGAGATTAGAACATGTGCCATCTCCAGGATGGAAAGCATAGATAAAGTAATTTTTCAAAATTAACAGTTTCGTTCCATGTGTATGGGAATCTTCAAACTTTCAGGGCTATATATAAGTTTACGTGTTAAGATCATGTATAAGGACATGTGTCTGATTTAATATGACAACAAAAGATGTCAGTAATTGATTGTGTTGTACAGGATCCAAGTCAAGATGCTGTAGTGTGGGTGTGTATGATGAAGAACATAATACCAGGGAAACACTTGATTGATGAGTGTGAGGGCGGGATCAAACTGACTGTCAATTCATCTGTGCATGGTGCGACAATGACCAACCAACTGTATGTGCCCTACCCTGAAGAGGGTCGATGGTACTTTGGTCTCTACAGTGTGTGTTTTAACAAAAACAGGTGAGCAATGCATGATGTATGTATAAATTTTAATATACTTACATGTATTTCAAATGTCTATTTCATGAAAAATAATGTTATGTAGATCTCGTTAGTTAAGACACTTTACATTTTTCGAGTAGGTAGAATCACATCAATCTGTGATTTAATTCGTACTTAAAATGATTCATTGACAAATATAATTTGGTTGACTTCACGCATCCTTGTATCAACTGGCTGAAAACAAAAAAACGATTTCACTTAACATTAATTTGAAAACTGATTACAAATTGTAACAAGTTGAGTTTATTTGACCATTTAGACTGTGTATATTTTATAAATGGTGTAACATGTTTTACAGAACAATGAACCCAGAGGATTGTAAACAGCTGCCTATGGTTTCATTACTGGTGTTCACATCTCGTTGTGTGGAAGAGCAGTGTGGAACTTTTGGCCAGTGTCAGGAGTACATCAGTGGTCTCCATGTGTTTAGCGCATGTTCATGTTATGCTGGTGAGTTACCTTCACTTCCAATGACAATATCTGTGAAAATGTTACAATTCAGTTTTCTGTGGAATTATTTTCTCATGTTGAGGTGCTTTGAGAAATTCTAAACACAATCAATTCATGTTACATGTATGTAGCCAAATTTTCTTATTTTATTACCAGATTTACTAGAAATGATCCACTATGTTTGCTAACTTTATAATCTTTCCTCTCTGGCTGAGATCCCCTTACTGACTTTGAGCATGGAGGATGGTTATTTGGAAGATTCTATTAGTCTCACATTACGGTGTAGACAAAGGATTTCAACTTTGGGAAAATTAATTAAATTGCAAAAAATTTCGCAAGCCGTGTCAGCCTTGTGTTTGCAACTTAAGAATCTTTCACCTTTGTTTGAGATCCCCCATCTCATCCCCAAGAAGAAACATACTTGTAGAGTATGGTGTAGTAGTATTGATGTAACCCTTCATCATCAAAACTTTTTTCCCTTACTAGGGTAATGTTATTTGTTACAAATGTTGTTTTGTGTATTCAGGTTACCGTGGTTATGGATGTACAGATGCTACAGAGGCAGAGTCAGATACCATGCTGCTTATGACTGCACTCCTGTTAACATTGAGTAACATCTTCTTCATTCCAAGTATCTTTGTGGCAATTCATCGACGCCTGTTTGTAGAAGCTCTCGTCTATTTTTTCACCATGTTCTTTTCAACTGTGAGTATGATCACTAGCTGGTGATAGATATTCTTCCATGAGTGATCATATACTGGTGATTGATATCATCCCCCACTTCTTGAAGAAAAAGAGAGATATTAACTTGGGGGATTTCCGTCTAGCTGTCTGTCTTACCTCAGTTTCCATTTGATAAGTTTGCTAAATATTAACTGATTTCATTTAAATTTGGTTTGTAGGTGTGATAGTGAGACAATGTAACCCTCAAAATATTTGCTAGATAGTAGGAAACACTTGTTTGGTAGTAAGGCAGTCTGTTGCCACAGAACACTAGCTAGATTGTTGGACAATCTGTTCCTCAAAACACCAGGCAATCTGTTTCTCTGAACACTGGCTAGATAGGTGGGAAATCTGTTTCTCAAAATGCTGGCTGGATGTTGAGGTAATTTGTCTCCTATATAAAACTTGAACTGGTTTGTAGGACAAAATGTCCCTTAAATAAAACACAAGCTGGTAAATGGGACAATATCTCTCCTCAAACAGTTGATGGATAGTGAGACAATCTGTCCTATAAAACATAGTCTGGTTAGTAATGTTCACTAAATGCATTCAGAAGTCCCCTGAACTTCTAACTGGATAGTGAAGTAATCTCTCCACACCAACACAGGCTGGTGAGTGGGACAGACTGTCCTCTGAATGTATACAGAAGTGGGACATTGTATCTCCTTATTCACTGGTTGGATAATGAAAGAAAAGAATTAGTGATTTCTGGGCTTAAGTGCTTTACCAATTTTATTTCCAGAAAAATGAGGATACTTTGTATGGGTAGGCTATCTGTGTAGGTGAATGAGCATTATCTCTATATCTGGAGAAGTAGTAAAGCTGCGTTGTTACACATGTAACAATGATAAGTTTCAGTTCCTCTGGGCAATGCATGCTTTGTATGCTGAATTAATACATTTCCTATTCTACTGACAAGGATTGACTTTGTTAAATTTCTTGTGAAAAGCAATATTATATTCAAATCTAGATAGCTGTAAGTAAATTACATTGCATTATATTTGCAACAAAAATTAAAGTATAGTTGATTAACTGTATGCATGATGTAAATGTGGAAATCCACCAACAGTTTATGCTTTAATAGTTTGGCAGTATATCATGTATTTATATATATATATCTAGCTAGAAGCAATCTCGATCAATGGTTGAGTAACCTTAAGTAATGATCTTTTCATATGTTTGATGTGATAAGATAAATGTGTTTGTTATCATCAGTATAATCTACAGTATATCTACAATGCTCTTCCAGTTTGCAGCATTACTTTATATAATTGGTTTGATTCTTTTAGAATGACAGCAATACAAATGGCACCTATATGCATCACTGATAATTGCCTATTGTAATGCAGTATCACAGTATATTACTTGACTATCCTATGAGTTTACTTGTTTCTCATGCCGAGGCTAATTGATTGTTTGTTATGTGCCTTGTAATCTATCCCAATATATTCTAGCTTCTGATGCCTAGACACAGAACTGGGGTCAACAATGCCTATAGATATCACCTATTTTCCAATTAGACCATGTCTGTCATGTACTTTCAAGTTTTACTATGTCTGATTTTATTTCCAGTTCTACAATGCCTGTGACCCTATTTTCCTGTTTGATCATATCATGACCTATTTTTTCCAATTCTACCATGTCTGTGACCTACATTGCAATTCGATCATATTGGTGACCTCTTTTCCAATTCTACCATGCCTGTGACCTACATTCCAATTCCATCATATCGGTGACCTCTTTTCCAGTTCTACCATGCCTGTGACCTACATTCCAATTCTATCATATCTGTGACCTCTTTTCCAGTTCTACCATGCCTGTGACCTACATTCCAATTCTATCATATCTGTGACCTCTTTTCCAGTTCTACCATGCCTGTGATACAAAAGACGTAACCCATTACTACTGTATGATGAAGTATGAGGTGCTGAGCTACTGTGACTTTCTGGGCTCCATTATGTCATTTTGGGTGACAATCCTAGCCATGGCCCGCCTGTCACCACCCGTCCGTTCCTTTTTTCACATGCTGGGTGCCCTGTGCCTTGCCCTAGGGGTGGAGTATGATCGACATGGCCTCTGGGTGTTTGTGGTACCTGCTGCAGTTGGAATCATCATAATGTCCATATCATGGGTAAGCATATCATGCTAGAAATAACTAGTGGTATTATACTGCCTTTTCAGTATCATATTAACTTGTACTCACTCTTATGATATAATTGATTAAGAAACTTATATTAATTTCCATATAATGGCTGATTCTGGTAATTGTTGTGTATATTTCATGTGTTCCAGCATAAAAGTGCAGAATTGTAGTATGTCTCTTTATCATTGACTTACATCGTAGTAGGTATAGGCATGAATTTTTTACAACTGCAATACGTTGTATTAGAAGTTGTGATTTTGATCCATATTTTCACAGGTGCGACAATGCTGTATACGAAAGAACTGCTATCCCTCCAAGTGGCGCTATGTAAAGTTTCTACTACCTGGAGTCCTGTTTGCTGGAACAGGGCTTGTCATATTTGCCTTTTTAGAAACAGAAGACAATTACAAATATACCCATAGTGCCTGGCACATTGTCATGGCATTATCCATTGTATTCCTGTTGCCAGGACGACAGAAGCCTAAAGGTACGCCAATTTCTCTGCATGACCAGTTAGATAACCACCTTGATGCAGAGCAACCCAATAACTCATTAAAACTAGAGTCTTATATCTCACAGGATTGATGAACTGTCTACAAGGGTATTATTACTGTTAATTTTACCAGTTTTGCTAAAAAAAAAAGAAAAGAAAAATTTGATCATTCCTTTTTATCTGTAACATACTAGGTACTGAAAATCACAAATCAAAATTTTGATTGAATTGCTGTGGATCCTTCCTAAAAATTGTTCTATAATTAATTTGTGAAATCCAAGTACATGTAGATATGTGTATATTGATTTCAGAATAATTCCCGTAATTTTTTTTCATTATAATGAATCCCTGTTATGAAATAGAGGATAGCAGTATTGTGATGAACATGTCAAGTTGAAGCAAGAAATGGAAACTTAACAGTAAAACCCTGAACAGTGACTAATGACACACTAGAGAAGGAGCAGGCATGATATGAAGGATTCTTGGCCCCAAAAGATGTTTTTTCTTAGAATGAAATTATTGTTTTGGGCAAATATAATACCAGTGGTCTTAAAATGTATTCCTGTCATTCCAGTGACAGGATATATGTAATGTTGTGATGGGTTTGGTAATCACAATTTAATTTGAGACACTTTTGGTAAACAGAATTTTTCAACTCTTCAGGAAAGGATTACAATATGTACAGTTAGAAAATTTTGTCTGTGTGATTTTGTAGCTTGAAATTAATTCATAATCGTTGTTTTTTTAGCACTGGATAAATGGAAGTAATTCCAATAGAAAAACTGCAATCAATGTAACTTTTCAAAGGGCCAAGCTACTCCGTATTTGCATAATCCTTTAGTATGTTTTCTGTTTAATCTAATGATTTTAACCCAATCTATAAATCCTATTAATGTGGTTTTCCGAAATTGTATGTAAACACATACTAAATATTAACACATCAGTTATGCTGTTGTTATTGTGGTGTAGTGCAGAATTCAAAAGTTTTTATTTGAAATTTATGGTGTTTAAAAATCCTACAATTAACATTTATAGTGATATCTTGAGGTAATTTGTCTAACATTGTCCATTATTCTAACTATAAAGTTAATATTACATTCATAATTGCCAATTCTTGCTCTTGAAAACATGATGAAGTTTTTGTTTAGTAATTGTTACTCAAGAAATATGTAAATTTTTAAACATTTTATGTGAAACATAATTATCCTGATACTACAGCTTAATCTCAAACTGATATCTCTACTATTCTACTAACAATTTGTGATTTAGACTGATGACAACTGTCATTATCCTACACTAACATCTTCAAACCATCATACAATAACATTATTCTGCTTTTGTCATCATTGTTTATTTATTTAGTTCTGGGAAAGTCAATACATTTGGGGAAATTGTGATTTGTTTTATTACTTGTTTCATTTGTATGCCTTTTCCTTTCTGTGGGTTGACATACAATGTTACTCATATTTGTCACTTCAAGGTGCATCCTATCCTGTTTCAAATAAACCTGATATCTTTAGAACTTCTCAACAGATTCATTTGGGATTATTTTATCTAACAGATGGTTGCTGGTTTTTTCATTCTTTATTTATTTATTTATTTACTTTTTTCATTATGATTTTGTTACGTGCCTACAATATGTTTCTGTTATCAATCTGTATAGTTTGATTTATTCTTTGTCTTACATGTACTATAATGACCAATATTTGTCTAGAGTTAACAACACTATTTGATATGTAATTGCACTATGAATATGCATTCAGTGGGATTTCTATTCTACTACCTGTATTTGTGTAATATAATATTTTATGATATTAACATTACTAATATTAGAGAGAAAAAGTCCTTATTAGATGTATTACCTCTAGTGTATCATGAATGTTGAAAGTTTCATACTTTATAGAAACCTTACATATGAGTGCATCCTTCTTGATAATTAAGGCCCAAATGTGCACTATTTAAATTTCAAATTGTAACCAAATTAATGAAATATAATTTGTAAATTAAAGATGTAAATGATAGCTAGATAGGAAATGATACAGACTGTAAACAGTGTAAACATTTTGACTTGCATGGCATGTAATTTTGAGTTATTAGGTTTTTTTTTCAGGTATGGAGAATGCATGTTTACCTTTTCTAAGCTGCTTTTTTTACTCTTTTACACTTTATTTGCTGAGGAATAGTGAAAGAAAGGTTATTGACAGTTTTATTGATTTTTTTCATTCTTTTTTAGCATTTGAACTTCTGCTGTTATCAAGTCTTTCTTATACGCATTTTCAGTCATTAATAGGATGAAGGAAACCCAAAGGGTTACTGACAGTTCATCCTAAGGGGTCAAAAGGGTTACTGACAGTTCATCCAAAGGGGTCAAAAGGGTTACTGACAGTTCATCCTAAGGGGTCGAAAGGGTGACTGTAAGTTCATCCTAAGGGGTCAAAAGGGTTTCTGACAATTCATCTTAAGGGGTCAAAAGGGTTACTGACAATTCATCCTAAGGGGTCAGAAGGGTTACTGACAGTTCATCCTAAGGGGTCAAAAGGGTTACTGACAGTTCATCCTAAGGGGTCAAAAGGTTACTGACAGTTCATCCTAAGGGGTCAAAAGGTTACTGACAGTTCATCCGTACGGGCCAAGTCACCATAAATGTGATCCTCTCTCTCTCTCAAGGATAGGTTGTATTTCTTGGTTCTATAATGAAATGATTAGAATCGGATTTGTAAAACCATGACAAACATTAGTAAGAGTGATGGAGACAATTGCTGGACTACTGATTTATGATATTGATGTGAATGTATTGACACCAAGGCATGGATAAGATAGCCCAGCACATGTGGATATTTCTCATTTTTGACACAGGGAAATCTCGACTTGGTGCTTAAATCTTCTGTCTCTTCCACTCTGATTGGTACCTTTACTCAATATTTGGCACTATGTGTCGTGATAGTTAAAGTGACATCATATTCAATTATCTCTCTGACTTACATGTATAACCAAATAATGAGGTAATTTAGTCAAATCAAAGAATTTGGAAATTAAACTATTTCTGCAATTTTGACAAAATGATATACAAGAAATAGAATACATTACCTGTATATGTTCGAGATTGATTTATTTCAGTCTCAGGCTGACATACTGTAACAAATTCCCAATCGAGGCAAACTCTTGAATGAGGTTTTGTTATAGAACGTCTGCCCTCAACTGACATTTTTCAATTTAGAACATGTACAGGTAATGGAGGTCAGAAGGGAATATTGCAATCACCATTGTCCATTTGTCAGTTTGTCCAACTTTGATTTCTGCAAAACTGTCTTAAGGTTAGTTTGTCCAATGCCACTCAAAGTTCATCTGGTGCTTCCTTTCAGAAATTGGTTGCTTGTAATTGCTTTTCAGGTCTGGAGGTCAAATGTCAAGGTCACCTATACTAGAAGTAGAAAATAGGTTTTTGCTGAATATTTCAAGTTTTGTTTGGCTAATTTCACTCAGGTTTCATCCAAAGCAGCCTCGAAAGAAGTGCTTACTTTGGATTTGCTTCTTCAGGACTTTTATCATTCACCATATCATTCATAAAAAGAAACAGTATTTTCTTTTCCTACCTCCACAACAAAATTAAAAAATGGTCATGATAAAGATGCAGCACTCCCTGGTAAAATCTTATTATTGCATGAGATAAGCCAGTGTGTATGAGATATCATTCTCATATTTGAGTTTATTTAATAGGTTTACATAAGCCAAGGCAATTGCCAAAACACCTATCAGGCCGGCTGGTATTAGTAATAGTCAGATATCCTAGCCTGGTTAACAAGGAGTATAAGTAGTCAGATATCCTAGCCTGGTTAACAAGGCGTATAAATAGTCAGATATCCTGGCTTGGTCAACAAGGTGTATAGATAGTCAGAGATCCTGGCCTGGTTAACAAGTTCTGTAAATACTTGGATATCCTGGTCTCATTAACATTGGTATAAATAGTCATAGATTCTGGTCAGGTTAACATGTGTATATATAGTCATAGATTTTAGCCATGTTAACAAGGTGTATAAATAGTCACATGATCCTGGCCATGTTAATAAGATTTATAGATCCTCAGATATCCTGGTCTGTTTAATTTTAGTATAAAAATTCATAGATTCTAGTCAGGTTAACATGTGTATATATAGTCATAGATCTTAGCCATGTTAAAAGGTGTATAAATAGTCACATGATCCTGGCCATGTTAATAAGATTTATAGATCCACAGATATCCTGGTCTGTTTAATTTTAGTATAAAAAGTCATAGATTCTAGTCAGGTTAACATGTGTATATATAGTCATAGATCTTAGCCATGTTAACAAGATGTATAAATAGTCAGAGATTTTGGCATGGTTACCCTGGTACAAAAATAACCAGAGATCCTGGCCTGGTTAACAAAGAGTATAAATAGTCAGAGATCCTGGCTCTGTTAACAAGGTGTATAAATAGTCAGAGATCCTAGCCTGGTTAACAAGGTGTATAAATAGTCAGGTATCCTAGCCTGGTTAACAAGGAGTATAAATAGTCAGAGATCCTGGCCTGGTTAACAAAGAGTATAAATAGTCAGAGATCCTGGCTCTGTTAACAAGGTGTATAAATAGTCAGATATCCTAGCCTGGTTAACAAAGAGTATAAATAGTCAGAGATCCTGGCTCTGTTAACAAGGAGTATAAATAGTCAGAGATCCTGGCTCTGTTAACAAGGTGTATAAATAGTCAGATATCCTAGCCTGGTTAACAAAGAGTATAAATAGTCAGAGATCCTGGCTCTGTTAACAAGGAGTATAAATAGTCAGAGATCCTAGCCTGGTTAACAAAGAGTATAAATAGTCAGAGATCCTGGCTCTGTTAACAAGGTGTATAAATAGTCAGAGATCCTGGCTCTGTTAACAAGGTGTATAAATAGTCAGAGATCCTGGCCTGGTTAACAAGGTGTATAAATAGTCAGAGATCCTGGCCTGGTTAACAAAGAGTATAAATAGTCAGAGATCCTGGCCTGGTTAACAAAGAGTATAAATAGTCAGAGATCCTGGTCTGGTTAACAAGGAGTATAAATAGTCAGAGATCCTGGCTCTGTTAACAAGGTGTATAAATAGTCAGAGATCCTGGCCTGGTTAACAAAGAGTATAAATAGTCAGAGATCCTGGCCTGGTTAACAAGGTGTATAAATAGTCAGAGATCCTGGCCTGGTTAACAAGGTGTATAAATAGTCAGAGATCCTGGCCTGGTTAACAAAGAGTATAAATAGTCAGAGATCCTGGCTCTGTTAACAAGGTGTATAAATAGTCAGAGATCCTAGCCTGGTTAACAAGGTGTATAAATAGTCAGAGATCCTGGCCTGGTTAACAAAGAGTATAAATAGTCAGAGATCCTGGCCTGGTTAACAAGGTGTATAAATAGTCAGAGATCCTGGCTCTGTTAACAAAGAGTATAAATAGTCAGAGATCCTGGCTCTGTTAACAAGGAGTATAAATAGTCAGAGATCCTGGCCTGGTTAAAAAGGTGCATAAATAGTCAGATATCCTAGCCTGGTTAACAAAGAGTATAAATAGTCAGAGATCCTGGCTCTGTTAACAAGGTGTTATAAATAGTCACGAGATTGTGGCCTGGTTAAAAAGGTGCATAAATAGTCAGATATCCTAGCCTGGTTAACAAAGAGTATAAATAGTCAGAGATCCTGGCTCTGTTAACAAGGTGTATAAATAGTCAGAGATCCTGGCTCTGTTAACAAAGAGTATAAATAGTCAGAGATCCTGGCCTGGTTAAAAAGGTGCATAAATAGTCAGATATCCTAGCCTGGTTAACAAAGAGTATAAATAGTCAGAGATCCTGGCTCTGTTAACAAGGTGTTATAAATAGTCAGAGATCCTGGCTCTGTTAACAAGGAGTATAAATAGTCAGAGATCCTGGCCTGGTTAAAAAGGTGCATAAATAGTCAGATATCCTAGCCTGGTTAACAAAGAGTATAAATAGTCAGAGATCCTGGCTCTGTTAACAAGGAGTATAAATAGTCAGATATCCTGGCCTGGTTAAAAAGGTGCATAAATAGTCAGAGATCCTAGCCTGGTTAACAAAGAGTATAAATAGTCAGAGATCCTGGCTCTGTTAACAAGGTGTTATAAATAGTCACGAGATTGTGGCCTGGGTAACAAGGTGTATACATAGTCCATTATTCTCTCTACCTAACCAATTTGTATAACGAGTGATTAATTCTCATCAAATTCACCTAAAAAGAAGAAAAAAAATCATGCCAAACCTGTTTATGATGCCAGATTGGAGAATTGGTGGCAGTTTTCAGTTTTATTGTGTAATGATTTTAGTCTAATTTTTCAGATGATAATTTGGAGCTTATATGTACTGATTTGAATGGAACACCTTCAGACCAAGTGTGTCCGGAGTAGTGATGTCATGATCAAGGCATGTTTATTTCAACCTAGATGTTCAGGGTTTTGTTGTATTTCTCTTGAAAAGCTTAAACTACAATCTCTACTAGAATTAGATGAATTGTTTAAAAACACTAATAGATGAATCAGCTGTTTGTAATAGTGTTATAAGTGTCAAGACATTTGGTATTAGATGCATGCTTGACTGATAAATATCACTGTGTATTTATGTCATTTCGACAGATACAAGCAACTAGTACTTTCTGTCTAAGATACAGTTGCCTGTCAAATATACAGAGTATGAAGGAAATTTATACCACTGTAACTGATAGATATCAAAATTCAATGTTTTTTTTTTCATTCCTTGGCTTTTCACCGAACTGTTATAACCTGTACCTGTCCTTAAATGGCTTTATTTATGTTGTAACTGATAGAAAATTTAAATGATATTAGATACCAGTGTACATACTGGTGGTACGCTGATCATGGGACTTATAACAGAGAGACTCCACTGTGGTTAGGGACTCCAAGCTTCCATATAGCTGGGCTATAATAGTATGATTCTTCTGTCTAGATTTAATCACACTATATAAATTAAAAAATCTAATTTATGTTGTTTACATATTGTAGTAAACCTCTGTTGTATTAAGTGCAATGAACACATTTTTTTATCAACTTGATTTATTTCTATCTGTACTGGAAAATCTTATCTCCCAGAAACATATTTAAAAAGTATACTGACCGATAGGACTACTTGAAATTACTGTGGTGGTGACATCATCCTACAAAACAAAGTTCCTTCCTCCCAAACTACATGTGCAGTGTAGTGCTGTTATGTGTGATCAACACTGGCATGTTTACCTGCATGTGGATGTTGTGTGAAGTCTTGTGTACCTGGACAACCTGCGGTAGGATTGATTTTTGCTTATTTCTATTTGTTTATTTGCTTTATACTAATATTACTAATCTCTGTTTGCATGTTTTAATGTTTCTTTTTCCTGAATTGATGACTTTGATGGACCATCATTTATCTGACATTTTCACAAGTAAAATAGAAATTAGATAACTCTTTCTCCATTTACAATTGAAATAAAACTATTACTTTTTTTTTGTTTTATTTGAAGAAGAAATGGATCATCAAAACAGCTCTGTCATGTGTGTTAGATAGGATCTGTACTGCCTAGATTTAATGTCATGTGTGAAGGCTAGTCATTATACACAGGTTTCAATGATGTTGTTAAAAGATGGTTGTTTTACAAAGGTTTCAATATTGCTATGAAGGGTGGTCATTATACACAGGTTTCATTTTAGTGTTTCAAGGATGATCACACACAGGTTTAAATGTGGTTTCATTTTAGTTTGTGAATGATGGCTGTTATGTACGTTTTTAAATGCAGTGTATGATGGATAAGAGCTACACACAACTTTCAATATCATGTGTGAAATGTGGTTATTATACACAGGTTTCAATGTTTTCTAGGTAGGATGGTTAGTATACACAGGTTTCATTCCATTCTTTGAAAGATAGTTAAACATAGGTTTCATTTCAGTATATGAAACATGGTTATGTGCTGGTGTCAATGCAGTGTGTGAAGAAAAATCAGTATATACAGGTTTCAGTTTTCTGTGAAATTTTTATTTTGTCAAAGTACTCAAAATGGATTGTCGTGCAATGGTTTCCTTATCTTGTATGAAACATGGAATTGTACTAAAGTTTCTACATTGTGCAAAAGATTGTTGATATACACAAGTTTTGTTGTGGTGAGTGAAGGATGGTTCAAATAGGAAAGGTTCATTATAACGGAGATCATCATTATACACAGGTTTCAATTTCATGCGTGAAGAATGGTTAATATGCACAGGTTTCAATGTCATATATGAAAGATGGTCATTACTCACATGTTTCTGTAGTCTCAGAATGATGGGCATTATACAAAGGTTTCTGAAGTCTCAGAATGATGGGCATTATACAAAGGTTTCTGTAGTCTCAGAAGGATGGTCATTATACAAAGGTTTCTGTAGTGTCTGAATTTGGTGATGTGTTTGATATACTGATTTGATAAGTTTCTGAGGTTAAGTTTCTATAGTTCGATGAGAGATGAGAGTTTCAACAAGATTCCTTATGATTGAAAATGTGGATCTCAGGTTAGTTATAACATACACATTACTGTGTCACATTGGACAAGTGGTTGGTTTAAACAGGTTTCTCTGTCTTTCCCACAGGGGCCAAACCTTACATGCAACTGCAGACCAGGGGGGAGGACTCTGTCCCACTGATGGACGATTATGATGATGAAAATGATGATGACGATGATCCATATAGGGGAATGAATGACCCAAGCTCTGTTCAGACTTCTCGTAATGTTGTTTTGTAGATGTTTATTGGAATGTTTTTGCTGTTGATCTCATTTTATTTGTTTATTGAAGTAATGTTGATGATGGGTTCTTACATTTTGTTGAAAAAATTATTTTGAGTTCAAAATCAACAATTTGTTATCAGTATATGAATATGTCATCAGAAATGAAACCCTGTGATAATAAGGTACTATCACATCAGTTATATGTAGTCATTGTCAGTGGTTTAAGGTTATAGGCTTCTATTTGTAGTAAATCAAAATGACAGATAATATGTTAATTTATAAACAAATATGTCAGAACCCATGATATGAAATTATTCCTTATTTGAGTCATGCATCATTGACTTCATTCTGAAACATACGTCATTAAAAAGATGTTAATTTATGAACAAATATGTCAGAACCCATGATATGAAATTATTCCTTATTTGAGTCATGCATCATTGACTTCATTTTGAAACATATGTCATTAAAAAGTTATTTTTTATAGTATCTAATATATAGTCATGAAGATATTAGAGTTGAAGGACTTGAGCATTCATGTGTTTGGTGCTGCTATAAAAATGTATTGATTATCTTATTTTTGTTTTTTTCATGAAGGCACATAAGTTATAGTGGCCAACCCTATTTGGTTGTTTTAGGGGCCAAAATAAGATGAAGACTTTCCAAATTCCTAATCATAAAAGATTATCAGATCACATCCTTTGGGTTGTCCTGCATTTAAATGGACAAGGTAGAAACTGAAATGATAATTAAGTAAGATAAGAGAAAAGGTTCAGGCAACAATCACACATGCTGGAAAGCAAGATATCAAAATTTTCTATAGAAGGATATATCAGTATTAATGTATTTGGGAAGAGGTTTTTTAGGTATCACCCCACCTGTATGTCATCATTCAATGCGAGAGGTCAAGGTTCCATGTGATCCAGCATATTATGGTATTGGATGCCCAACTGATGTTTGTTCTAATGCACCGTAACCCCTTAGACAATCTTAATTATGAACACAAAATAGCATATTGTCACTATAGATGACAGTTTCCCTTAGGAACATGATTTTGGTAACTTTTATTCCATAATATTGAATACGTATAGGTATGTTGTTTTAATGCTATTGATTTGTTATATTTGTGAAGGTATGGAGATCAAAATTATAAAATGATGATATATCAAGAAGTTTGTATGTAAATTCGGGGTAGTTTTCACTTTTGTCTATATATCATGTTTGTATTTTGACTTACAAAACTGCATTTAACCATGCATTTGAAATATATGAAAAAAATTTATATCTATGTTTTATGTATCATGTGAATAAGGGAGGCGAGATAATGCATCGGTAACACAGTCACCTTTCACCTAGAAATCTGTGGTTCAGTTTCCCTGTATGGATCACCTGCTGAACCACATGCGTTTACCACAGGTTCTCCATGGGTACTTGAAAGACTTCTTGCATACCTCCATCCTGGCCTACAATATTGGTTAGAAAAGTTGGAAAAACATGGTTGGTAAATAAAGTTTAAAATTCATCATAGTGTATTAGAAAGTGACAATATTCATGAGAAATGTGGATTTCTAGGAGATTGCGTTTGCTTGATCTGTACATACTGGTATATTGTGATAACATGAATAAGACCTACCAGGTAATGCAGCATACAATACACACACACACATATATATATATATATAGTGACTACAATATAGATATTATTACTGTTGAATATTCATTACAATATCTATTTGAAAAAAAAGGAGAAAATTCTTTTCCAACACAATATTAATATCGCTTTCAAAACAACAGAAAAAACGAAAGTTTTATTACAACTATCAAAATATTTTGTAATTTTAAGAATTATATTTGCAATTTAAAATTGATTTGATATGACATATTTTTAGAATCACATTTATATGAAACCATGACAGAAAATCTAGTCTGATCTTGAGTCTTTCTTACAACAATCGTGATTTTGGTATAAGTTTCGTAATTTTCAAACCAGTCTTTGAACGTTATCACCTACAGTAATTCTTAAGAAGTGTAGAGTCGACACGGTTCTTGTGAAGATAGTGTAGGTTTGTTGATGGGACATCCTGGAATCTCGTGGAACCTTTGGTATGTATTACATAACGTTACAATAGATGAAGACACCACATTTTTAGTACTTCAGAGGTAAGATTCACACCACAAATTGTCCTGAAGAAGCCCATATGTTCAGACGAAACAGATAGTGATAAAACTACTAACTTCATCCTGAGCTTGTTGCAATTGACTATTACCTTTAAGTACCTACAGTAATTGTAGTAACAGTCACAATGACACATCAGATGTTAACTTAATGTGGGTGTAAATATCGACTTATTTTCATTTCATTTCTTTTCAAACAGTTTCTTCCCAGTAAACAAAAGGCCCAGTGTACATATATAAGGCCTGTAGCATCCTGGGATGAAGGGCTTCCAATTTGGTTCAAATGATTGTTTTTTTGTTGTTTTTTTTGAGAGTTATAAATGAAGTTGAAGATTTTCAGCTATATGATGATTTCACACACGTTGTTGTGAGATTTGTCTCACGATTAGGATTTATTTTAGGGAAGGAAGTGATGATGTGATGCTAATCCACAGGATTTTGATCCAACAATGAAGAACTCAATCCTCATAGTGCTAGATTTTAGATTTCGTCCCTTTTTTTTTACATTATTTAATATACTTTGCTCTTAATCATTAGTATTATAATTTATTGGTTAATCTTATCATTATTTTCTATTGGTATTAAATGTAGATTATGACAATTACATGGAATGTAATTAATGTTTAACTATGAGAAGGTCGTACTTTTGTATTATAGTGAGTTTATATGCTCTTATAGTGTCCTATCTTCAGCAAGCTAATCACATACTTACAGGTCTGATAAGTAAGATCATTATTTCGGAGCCAAGCTTTTTTTAATTGATATATCAGTTTCTGGATTGCTATTTTGACTCCAGTGACGTTGAGATGTTCCTCTATCCACGTAAACCTAGTCTGTCCGCTATGGCTTTAATGAAGTAGGCATACCGTTGTAGTAATTAGCCAACACTGTAAGCTTCACTTTGCTTTGTGTATCATGATGAATTTGAATTATTATTTGTTTACAAAATGTTATTTTTTTTCATTGTTGTTTTCTTAAGGATTAGATGAATGTACATATATATTAGAATGTAATAATGTGTAAAATGATAATTGAGAATCTTGCTTGTATTTATAAAATCGTACTCATGCCGCAACCAGACGTTTTTATTCCATGAGAAGACAATGGTATGTGACAGGACAGTGTGACTGAAGTTTGAGGATGGAAACGGTTTTATGAATATAGTTGGTTCTATGTTATGTTGATGATTTCTTTATCTGTGATAAATTCATATCTTTCTGTAAAATTCATGTCCCTCACATTGGACTCCAATCTATTCTGATTTATATAAAGAGCATTACAGTTATTTCTAATGGATTATGAATGACTGTACAGAAAAGTGCCAATCTGATGAGCAAGTAATTTTGTACTGAATAAAATAGCATTTCAACTGAATCAATCCTCCAAGACATTACCCCAGATGTTTACAATCATTTTCAGCCTGATGTTTTTAATTTTTGGTACACTGTATAAATCATCATCCTTTCTAGATCTCCCTTTGTATATGAACAAAGAATGTTATAAAATGAAATGTTATATATTACCATTGTAGGTAACAGATCTTTATATTCTAAATAGAGTTTGTAGAAACACAAGCATGATATAAACAAAAGTTTCCTGGCTCTCTGAGGTAAGAAACTAAGGTCTAGTCTCCATTCTCCATAGGGAACTGCTATCCAATGATATGTAAGCAGTTATCTCCCTTATGGTTTCAAAATGAACTTTTGCCTTTTTTAAATGTTGTTTTGTAACTTTTTTTTTTACTTGGATATATACCTAGATGTTATTCAAACTTTAGAATACATCAGATTTATTAGCAGAACTTCCTGAAGTTAAGACATACTGTGTGTTTTGAAACACGAACAGTGATATGATAGGTTGTAAATATATGTTTTTTGAGTATTTTCCAGGTCATATTTAAGGATTTTTTAGGCCTGATCCCATTTAGTCTAGTCTTGTACTATCACGTCAGAAAGTTTATGTTGGAAACCTTTTTTTAAAAATTTTTTTTAATGTCAAAATTAAGGGGCTTATACTCCAATATCTGTCAAAAACATTATATAAGTTTAGATAAGTCTGTAATGAAGGTAATATTGAGGCACATGTTGTATGACAAATTAGTGCACCCATGGACTGCCTGTATCGGCTTTACCATCTCTTAGCAAGGATTATCAGTGTCTTCATTGCTCAAATACACTGAACATTGATTTGATAGATTCTATAGGAGTATTGTGTTTCTTTGCAGCTTTTTAGTTACAAATATTGCTATTATTGTAAAGTTTATGTTATAAAGATGATGACATGTTTCGATGAAAACCAGTTGAAAGCAGTTTGATATGCTAAAATGAATCCATGAATATGTATAACTGAATGTCTGTTTTTGCACATATGTGTACTTATAAAACAAATTAATTATGTTGTTGATTAATTATATATAACATGATGAATAAATACCTATAAATATCATTATTGCTCTTGTTATTGTACAACAAGTTATTAGATATCAGGTACACTCCTTCATTAGCTATTCAAATGGCTCTTCATCCATGATCTCTGGTCCATCCCTCCAAGCGTTCATCCGTGCGTAAACAATTTGTGTTATCGCTATTTTTTGAGAAGTACTGGATGGATCTCTCTCAAATTTCCTATGTAGGTTCCCCTTGGTCCCTAGTTGTGTCCTGATAATTCTGGGACTGATCAGATCAGATCAGGATTTATTCAATGAAGTTTGTTATTGCTATTTCTTTAGAAGTAATTGATGGATCTTTCTTAAATTTCATTTGAAGGTTTCTCTTGGTGTCTAGTTGTGCGCATTTGATTTTGGATCTGATGAGAAAACAAAATGGCCGAAAGACGGTCATCTTGGATTTTGCCTTTGAAAGTTTGTTGTCACTATTTCTTGAAAAATACTTGATGAATCTCTCATAAATGATTTTAGGACTGATAAGAAGAAACAAAATGGCTTCCAGGCGGTCATTTTGGACTTGGCAGATTAAGATTATCATCGCAATTTCTGCAAAGGAATGTTCATATGTCTCGTCATTAAGAGCAAAAACAAAAGAGAAGAGAAAAGAAGGCAAACTATCCAAATTTTAAAGAGCAAATGAAGATCAAACAGTGGTGGGCGCTAAGATTCCTCTGGGATCTCTTGTTCCTGGATAATATTAATCTTTAGTGACATAAAGGTTTGATGTCGTGGCACACTACAATCAAAAGGTAAACTTGTCCTCTAGAAAGTTGGAACTCCTCGTGTAAAGAGACACAAAAAAGCAACCGCTCATTTCAGGTATATTTTACACGTTTTATCGAAAAGAGGAGTTAGTGTATTGGAATTCAAGACTTCAATAACGAATTACCAGTTAGCATTTGCCACTGCTCGGATTGCGCGATATGTCGTAGTGTATAACACTGTAAATATACTGCTGTAAGATTGTCCTCAGTTATAATAATGGGGGTCTTGTGGTCTCTACAGATCGACTCCACACAGAACCTGCCACCTTCAAACCGTTCGCGTTCAGTTATGCAGTTATCGGCGTAAAGTTTGTCAAGAAGCACGCAAACGCCCATCTGAGCGGTAAAGCGTGAATCGCGACGCGTCGGACTGTGTCATATTCACGTTCTGTTTCAATTTTTCGTGAAACCACGGACTTGTATATTAGACTATATTTAAGTCCGTGGTGAAACCAAATAAAACGTTTCATGTACTTATTGGTCTCGATTACCAACAGAATGACTAAAAAGTGACGCCAGTGCGTGAACTTCGCCGGTACCTAGACGTATGTAGCAGAGCCCGATCGGTGAGGTTGGACACAATAACTCAATGACGGCTGAGAAGACGATACACTTTTGTGGACTTCTAGTGTTGTTCATTTTGGGAGTTTCCAGCAATGCATCTGAACTGTCATGTGCATCGTTTGATAATCTAGAAATTTGCAACTGACAATTTTTTATACCGCACTATTCTTTCCAGAAGTCCAAAGAATGATGAACAGGTCTGGATTATACGAAATGCAACCACATTTGTCAGTGAATATGTTCAATCGGGATATGTAATAGTCTAGCGGGCATGACAACGGGTCGTAAGGCAGAGTTCAATCAACCGTGATTGGAACGTCAAAACAAATGATACAATATGCTATTCAACATGGCTAACGATAGCTTATGAATGTTTTGAGATTATTGGCATTTGAAGTTTCTTTTGTGTGTCGGTATAGCATGCTACTCGTAATTATTGGGTATTTATATCAGTTTCATAATTTGTCTTGGTGACTATTTTATATGTTCAATATAGCATAAGTATATCCAATAACATTACGGTACTCTGATGAGCGAAATTATGCCTCCATTCTAATATAATAATGTTCGAGACATAACTTTGAATATGTCTTTATGAAACTCGAGGTTAAAAAAATTAAGTACAACATTAACGTAACGCAGGGTGACTTTATTTGCAATATCTTGCGAACGCATTGTTCAAAAACAATGAAAATCGGTTAAGCAACTCTGTGGGTTACAGTGCACGTGGTCCTGTACCGAATGTTGCATTATTGTACTGCGTGACAATGTCTTCCGGGGAAAGCACGAAACGGGTAAATCTCGTGCACAACAGTGTTGTGTTATTGAGTTACACTGCTCGTTATACCGTGAGGTAGTCTTCATAGAGACACATCATTTTCCGATAAGTTGATTAATTTCTGATATCATTAAGCAATGGCATGGCTAACGGAAGTTCAGAGGGGTCAAGCCATCGCGATGATTATACAAGTTTAAAGGCAAATGCAGGCTGCCAGACATTTCACTGTCCATATTTGTACTATAGAACGTTTTGTTAAACGTCGAACGGAAACTGGGTGGGTTGCTGACAAACCGAGGTCTTGGCGTTCGCGCGTTACGTCACAATGGGCACCTGACTGCCACTTCAAAACTTGTAAGGAAATGATTGCGGGAAGCTGGTCTGCGTGCACGTCACCCGTTTGTAGGTCTGTCCCTTACCGCTGCTCGTCGCCAACGTCGTATGGCTTGGGTGGCTTCACATGCCCAAAGATTATCCCCATTGAGGCATCTTGTTTGCTGATGAGTCCTGGTTCACCCTGTTTCGAACAGACCATCGACGTCGTGTAGAGCGTTTTGCCGCCTGCTGCTGCGTAGTAGAGACGGATATGTTTGGAGGTGGATCGGTTATGGTGTGGGGTGGAATATCACACAGAGTTAAATCACCAATGGTTGTGGTAGCGGGTAATTTAACTTTTCGCTAGGTATAGAGATGAGGTCCTCCGACCCCATGTTGTCCCCTCATTGTAGCAAAACAACCTCACATTCCAGCAGGATAATGTTCGGCCCCATGTAGCGAGGATCTGTCGCGACTTTCTCTCTAACAACAATATCCACCCACTGACTGGTCGCCATACAGCCCCGACCTATCCCCTATTGAGCATTTGTGGGACCAGCTGAATAGACAGCCTCCCTCTGTTACCCTTGCCCAGCTGAGAGCATCCCTCTTAGAAGAATGGGCCAACATCACAAGGAGGAGGATAAACTTACTCATGAACTCCATACCTAGTAGAATCAGGGCGAGAGCGAATGGGGGACATATCCGTATTGACTAACCAGCTCCCACAATCAGCCCTTTTCTATTTCATATTTCGCTTTCAATTCCCTTCAATTGCTCCTTAATACTTACCAGATACAATATTTAACATTATACTCGACGTCTTGTCTAGAATCATCTTCACTGTTTTCCCCGTGTTTCTTTAACCCTTGCGTATACATTGTCTGGGCTATAACTCTGAACCCTGAACTATTTTGATAACGCATAAAACTGTATTATCAAAGCAACAAGGTCAAAGGTCAAATAAATGCAAAATTTACAACAGTCTTCATAATAACTTTTAAGCTGTTAGAAAACATGATTAAAGTTAAAACTTGCCTTTTTCAGTCTTTAGAAGTTAAATTTTAAATCCAATATGATTTCTTAGCGCTCTGTTGTCGACCTGAAATATGCCCTTAAATGTAATAGCTGTAAATGAAACCAACCAAATGCATCACGTGTCTCATCGCATATCATTTAAAAAACTTACTGCGAATCGCTTGTGGAAGCCTTATGGTTCATTTATACAGGTACATGTTGACGCCGCTTTAGTATGCAGTAAAAACCATAATGCTGAGATCCTGAGACCCGGAAGTTAAAAGTGGTGACCACACCTTTCGTCTGCCTACCAAGAATTTGTTACTCTGACCACACCAGAAGATTGAAGGTAATTGTGAATTATTTGTGTCATTGGTTATAGATGCCACAGTACATGTTAGCGGACAATCCTACGGTATTCGCAAATGAAAATATTGTGTTGATATGCTGTTTTTATGGCTCGTTATGTATTCATCTTTTTCTCTGCCTATTGATGTCGACAACATGAAGCCATTTTTCTGTTATAGATATGAAAATGCATCTGATAAATACTATAAAAAGCAGAGTCAAGTTGATTAAGGATATGCTGTTAACAAAGGTTTTTATCTATAATAGTTTCGTTGGTGATGTTAGACATCACTATATATGTCCATATTTTGCCCTGGTTTTAAGGAATTTGAATTTGAATTATGATTATGTTGCCAGGCTAATATTTTCTTGATCTTTTTCATTAATTTTTTCGGTGAAGTTGGTCATACATTTTTGTAATCTAATTGGAAATTATCATTCAACACATACTTAACCTTCTCCTGATTTAGTCTGTGTGTCTAGCTATGATAGAGACACTTTTTGTGTCCCAGATTAGGTTTATGTCTGAGGAGTTTAAATCCCATATCATCCTTATCGGTATATGCTATGTTACCACTGTTTGGTATGCTTTGTCTCCGTAAGTTATGCGTGTTATTTGATACCATCGCCACCCTACCCTGACCAGGTTTTATCAGAATTCTACCTTACCTTTAATATGCTAATACACTATACTGCAAGATCATGCATAATCCCATTAAATGTAGCTCGAAATAGACAAAAATAAAATATTTCTTTAAGTTCTGTTTATATTTTAGGGAAAATTAAAAAGATCGGCAAAGCTATCGGTGCATCTTTTTGGATTTTTGTTGTAATAGATGCAAAGTTTACATATTTTTATCTATTTATTTTGATATTTTTTTTAGTATTTACACTGAAAATTGTCTATAACTACTCAGCTTTATCAACAATGCTATTGGGATAGAGACTTTGCTACAGCATATAACTGTTATATAAGTATTCAACTCTGTTTGAGTACAAGCAGAAAAATTCAAATTATCATTATTACTACAATACGTGATTTAATTACACGAAAATATGTTCTTTCGTTGTAGTTTGATTCTAAAAGTTATAGATATCAAATGTCCTGATTGAACATTACATATCAAAAAGAAACACGTAAGTGTACTATTTTACTTTGGGAGGTTGAATCTTCTTTTAAATTATAAATTTTCTAAACATTTCTCGCAAAGCATATTTTAAGATACTAAATAAGACGAAGAATGCTCCTTTGTAACTCAATCTCTAGAAATCAGCATGAAGTTCGTATATGGTAAGTACCTTCCTGGTTTCACCGTGATTGTGGGGTCTAAGCCATTACTATTTGTTATACAGAGCGTGTCGGGAACAATGAGTTATTAAATTACCTTACCGCTGGTACAGTCCACATTACATCAGCTTTAACCTGAAAATAGAGTTAAAGATGACCCAGACATAAAAACACTGATAACACATGATAATTATATATTGTAAAGATTTTCAAGAAATCTGATCAAACATCTAATGGTAATTCATATAATACATCATAACTCAATATAATTTCTGATATTTTAAAAAGTAATAGTTATTTGAAATAGAAGTCAACAACTTGCCTTTACTGTTTTTGTCTATAAAAATACAGAGAGATATAATTAGCATATTTTAACGATGAATAGGATAATATTATAGTATCACGTGTGTTATATTCTAATTGAGCACGTTTGATATGTCCTGTGTAACCGACCTGTGACGATTATCATATTATAACATGTTACATTACAGACATCTGTAAACACAGAAGATGGACAAACAATATAATCTCGAGGCTGGACGCTATTACAAGAGTAAGTAAAATAATACACGTAATCTATTCTTTATATGTTGTATAGCAACATTAACTTGTGTTTATCATTTTAATTCAAATAATGAAACTTATTATTACTGAATAATAATGATAAATATGACATTTATCAGAAATTTCAATAAGGCTAACATTTAAATCATAGTCATATATACTTGCTTTTCATTGACAAATATATCTAATGTAATAGAAAATATATTCTGAGCTGGCAAAAATGTACCTGTTCGTATTCTTCTTAATTTGGTGACAAAGTTACAATGAAGATAATACATTTATGTATTTGATTTACATAATACAATTTTAATAAAAACTGGGAGTTATAACTCATTTCTGTACACGTGAGCGTTTTCACCACCTATCCATGTATTTTTTTCGTCGTCTTCCTTGATCATGATTATTTTACGGAGTGAACTTCATCACACGTCTTCTTGTGCCAACTAATTGTAGCTTGGCCATTGTATTCATCGCTGTTTCTTGACATGGGTAATAACCTACCAAAGCAATGAAAATAACTTGGGAACAAACATTTCATTATTTAGTTGTTAACATCATTTAAAATATAATCTTAATTTTCACCTCAAGCGCAAGGTAAGAGTCACGTCGCCTGTATCATAGTTCTACTGGTGGTGACTGCTTTGGGGATTTCGGTCGGGATGATTGCCTCTTTAGCAAGTAAGTAGATCCATTAATCAGTTTTGAACCGAACGTTGTGTTTATCGTCTTTGGATTCCGATGATGTCTGTTTTGAAAGCATACAAATGACACAAAAGTGAATAGCACTTTCTAATATAGAATTAAAAACTGACTCCAGTAAAACTAAACACGCTCCTTCTGTCGTAAATGCATAATTTAGTTCTTTTTGGTCTAGATATCCGCTATTAAGACCCATACCATCACCGACGACTACTAGAATGAAAAGAAATCGGGTTAAATGAAAAATTCAGAAAACCATGATGCCACCAACGCCTTTTTGCAGTGGATCTTATTTCGGTGCCTTCTTATATAAATATATCAAACTGACGTATATTTTAGAAAGTAGAATTCAATAAATCTAAATTGGTTTCGAGATTCTGATATTCTATTCATTTATGGAACTCTGAGTTCTTTTGTTTTTGGGAGCTCTTGTTTCTTGAAGTTATGTTTGTAATAAAGGTCTGTAAGTTCTGGCATGCATTTTTATATCGGAGCTCTGGGTTCTAATGTTTTGCTGTGCATGTAGCCTAGTCCATCCTCGGTACTCCAGGGGTTACAATCACTTTCGCTTTAACTTGTCATGGCAAAATTGAAGGCACGTGCGAAGTAATTTGACCAATCACAGCCTTTCAAGATCCGCTTGAAGATTACAAAGGATCGACATCCAACTTCAAGGCCATTACAATATACTATTATGCGACCTCAAGAGTTGTTTGATGTACATCAAAGAATCAAACTAGTCTTGTCCACAAGGTGTCGCAAATGGAACCTTCAATTTCCAGGGGTGCAAATTGTGATTGTAACTCCTGGTGTATCAAGGAGAAGCCTCGTCAAGACTGAGGTTTAGGTAGTTATATTTCTTGAAATGGAGAAATAATTCATTTTTAAGAACACCGTATGAGTATTAACTAAGCAATGTGATATAATAGCATCAAATCATTTTTTCAAGGTTCACTGATGTCATTTCACTATTTGTTGTTTTACCAAAGATGGCAACTTAAGGTTAAATCTTGTTGGAAGAAACTGTATAATGTGGCCATGATGAACAGTTGATGGGTCTTAAATCATAGTAATTATATTGACTTTTGTGTAAGATGAATTAATTGGAAAGTAAATATGATAACTAATAAAGTAACAGTTATAATGTAGATCTATTCATTACATTTCACAGCAACAGTAGACGAAACGCAAAGTCAATCGGACATGGGTAAGAGTAATTCCCTTATTTCTTTTCTTTCTTGAAAAAAAACCAGGAAGCCTCTACATTACATCAACTGAATGTTTTGGACTTATTAGATTGCAAAATAATGATATTGAGGCACTAGAAGTTTTTTTTATTTCTTGTTGTTTTCCCTTGTTGCACAAAATTGTTTTAAAAATGGCACTGTATTTTTGTTTTTCTAAATTAATAGATTAATGAATGTATGTTTCTTGTTTTTAGTTTTCAATGGCGTAACTAACAATATACCGACTTCCCGACTTTTCACTACTACTAGCACTGCGAGAGTCACAACAAAGTCATCCACAATGTCAAGGGAGATAACAACTACAACAGCGCATGTTGAGACATCTACCACAATGGCTATGACATCAAAGCCGACAACAACTAAGCATACCGAAACCACAACTGCCGATGAAGCTGAAACAACGCATCTACCAGCGCCGACAACAGTAACTGAGGTTAGTAAATCAACGCTGGATTATACAACGTATCCGTCAGAATCTACAACGATCAAAGATGTTGATACCAGATATTCGTCAGAGATGACAACGGTCCAAGATATTAAAACCACAGAACTCCCAGTTGATGTCAATACAACGCTACCGCCAGCAGTGACAACGATAAAAGACGCAAATACAACGTTACCGCCAGTATCTACAACGATCAAAGACGTTAATACAACGCTACCGCCAGCAGTGACAACGATAAAAGACGCAAATACAACGTTACCGCCAGCAGTGACAACGAACAAAGACGTAAATACAACGTTACCGCCTGTATCCACAACGATCAAAGACGTTAATACAACGCTACCGCCAGTATCTACAACGATCAAAGACGTTAATACAACGCTACCGCCAGTATCTACAACGATCAAAGACGTTAATACAACGCTACCGCCAGTATCTACAACGATCAAAGATGTTAATACAACGCTACCGCCAGTATCTACAACGATCAAAGACGTTAATACAACGCTACCGCCAGTATCTACAACGATCAAAGACGTTAATACAACGCTACCGCCAGTATCTACAACGATCAAAGATGTTAATACAACGCTACCGCCAGTATCTACAACGATCAAAGATGTTGATACCACATATTCGTCAGAGATGACAACGGTCCAAGATATTAAAACCACAGAACCCCCAGTAGATGTTAATACAACGCTACGGCCAGTATCTACAACGATAAAAGAAGTTAAAACAACGCTACCGCCAGCAGTGACAACGATAAAAGACGCAAATACAACGTTACCGCCAGCAGTGACAACGAACAAAGACGTAAATACAACGTTACCGCCTGTATCCACAACGATCAAAGAAGTTAAAACAACGCTACCGCCAGCAGTGACAACGATAACAGACGCAAATACAACGTTACCGCCAGCAGTGACAACGAACAAAGACGTAAATAAAACGTTACTGCCCGTATCCACAACGATCAAAGACGTTAATACAACGCTACCGCCATCAGTGACAACGATCAAAGATGTAAAACCATTAGTGACAACGAACAAAGACGTAAATACAACGTTACCGCCTGTATCCACAACGAACAAAGACGTTAATACAACGCTACCGCCAGTATCTACAACGGTCAAAGATGTTAAGATAACGCTACCGCCAGTATCTACAACGATCAAAGATGTTGATACCACATATTCGTCAGAGATGACAACGGTCCAAGATATTAAAACCACAGAACCCCCAGTAGATGTTAATACAACGCTACGGCCAGTATCTACAATGGCCACCACTAACACAATGCAACCGACAGCTTTGACAACAGCCAAGGATACTAATACAAGGACGGTCAATGATCTGACGACCACACTACCGCCAGAATCGACAATCACCACTAATACCAATACAGGTCAATCGCCAACGTCGACAACGAACGATGATACAACATAACTGTCGGAGCTGACAACGACTGAAAAGGCCGTCTTGCAACCAGTGGTATTGATAACGGTTAACCGTATTTATACAACTGATTTTCTAGTGGTGAAAGCTGTGCTGCAAAGAAGAGTTTTACTAAAATTTTATTGAGATTTGTTTGCGGGATTTATCGCCTCTTGAACAATCACAATCATGATTATGCGAGGCCTTGTGCTAGTCCGCGGCTATGAAGTGAAGTGACATTTTTGTTAATATATTGCGATTTAAAAACAACGTTTAGCAATTAACTTGGCCCATACCGTCCAATAAGGTCAACAAATTGTATTGATTGTTTGCAATACATGGAAGCTATGATATAAACCATTTCAGAAACATGTAAAACCAATTATCACCTGGAAGTATGAAAAGACAATTTACAAGACTGGATTGCGTCATTTTGTTCCGACATCAACTAAATAACTAAAATTACAAGTTGCCAAAAGAACACAATGGTGCAAAAATACTACCATGTTCTGATCACTGCAAGGTGATCCAGAGTCTTTTCCTGGAATGAACATCAAGCTGTATGTGAAACCTTAATGATGAGATGTCTTGTGAGATCCTAGAAAGCATTATGTCACAAAAACCGTTGTGTTTCTAGTTACTGAATATAGAAAGCATAATGACAACAAGAAACTTAAATGTAGTTTGGAGTACGTTTGTTTAGCATGCATTAAAACCAACGAGAAAGTTGATATGTTCATGTATTGTGCATGTATAAGAAATATGAAAACGTTAATCATGGTTAATCACTGCAAAATGAATATATATAAACTAAGTTTTATTTAATCAGATTATTGTTTAGGTGAATAAGGTAAAGACGAATATATGTACTATATAAATATTTTTCTGGGACACGTTTCAGTTTCTTGATAAGAAGAAATTTGAATATCTCACTGGATTTTTCCCGAAACACTTTCACATTTATGTACAAAAGTTTTAATTCTCAACAAAAACATATCGCTCAAAGCTAAAACTTAATCACCAACTTGTTGCTTACATTGTTTTCTATTGATTATTTAGCTTGGCGTGTTATACAATTGTGTTTAAATTCTATATACGGAAATACTCAACCAAAGATATAGACATCATATCTTATTTCAATAACATTACATATATAATCAATTATTAGTTCTTTAAATCGTTATCTTCTATAAGCATTTGATTAAACAATAAACCTGAGTTTAACTAAATTAAGACTTGTTTTGTAGATCTTACCAATCGGATCACGACGGTTACAAGTCCTGTCTGGATAGTAATTACTTACGTCACTATAACAATGCTTAAGAAAATCGTATACATCATTGACATTTAAAAGAAAACGAGTGAAATTTCGGTAATCGTCAATAAATCGATTGAATCAAAGAGAAGCAATGATATGGTACTTTGATTCTTAATTCATGTGAAATAACCCTAAACTTATTCTTAATATTTCAAATTGAAAAGATGTTTTGTATATGTTAATGAGTATGCATTGCACTTTGACAGTGGACAACGAACTATTGGATATATTTCTGTAGACAAGGAATAATTATTAAAACATAATCATAACCAATGGATGTACGCAATGATATACATTACATCGTTCACAGCGTCAGGAAGTCTACAAGGAATACAATAGAGACATGAATACATATAAAGTAGCATAACATATAATCATATTGATACGAATTCGTGTACATATGGAAGTAAGAAACAGTGACCATCATCAAAAGCAAAACCATAGACAGACATGTTTACTTTTAGGACAATTTATGTATAATTAATGGATTAATGAAATTTAATTTTGTGTTACACTATTTGTACTGTTTTTACTTTTAGAACAATTTATGTATAATTAATGGATTAATGAAATTTAATTTTGTGTTACACTATTTGTAGTGTTTTCGATAAGATAGATAGGAATTATAATCATTGGCCATCCTTATCTGAAAACATAAGATTTTGATGTGCTCGTATCAAAAATATTTTGTTTACATGCATTAGGGAAAAGAATGGTACTATACACTCGGTTACATACGCACATCTGATCACTTAGGTTATAGAACTATGACCCGAAATAGCTGAACTAAAACAGTAAACAAAAATATAGCACATATATGAACACATTAAAACAGAAGTAAGTAACAAGTGGCGCGCTTTATGCGTTAGAAATGACAAATATATTATTTGATTTATTTATCGTTAAAATATTTGCTGTATTATTTTTTTCTTTCTGTTGTACTTTTATTGCTCGTTTCATTCAGATGTTAGATTTTGCCGAACAAAATTCGTTTCTTTGCTCCATAAAACTGTGTAGTTTTTTTCAATAAAATCTCGAAGATTTCAATATTGAAGCTAGAATTTAATGCAGAAGATCCGATGAATTCCTTAAGAGTGTGTCTTCTTTATTACTTGTTGTTTCATTCAAGCATGTGTTTTTCCAATTTCATATTAAGACCATTAAGTATTTATATGATACACTATCTAAGGTATAAACTCACGATGTCTAGTCTTCTCACACTTTGGGAGGGTGTGGAGGAGGCGAAACAAGATTTAACGACGATAGAAGAAAGGGTAAGAAGCGGTGGTGACCTTTATGACGAGAGCGGCTGGACCATCTACTATTAGGTAGCAGGAGGTGTGACAGTTGACTTCCCGCAGGAACTTCTCCGTCAACTCACTTAATCAGACGGAGAAACAATAGGTGATTGGATGGACAGGTTTCCGCCGCTGTTGTATTCTTGCACGTTATGAGAACGAGTCTGGACATATTATAAGATTCTTAGACACCCTCTGCGAGGCTGCGGGATGTGACGCATTACAAGACAAGGACGAGAAGAAAAGAAACTGTTTTGACTTAGCTGCTGGAAACGAAGGACTTCGGGAATATAATAAGTGGCGAATTAAACACGGTACTGGTAAGTCATCCTGAACTAAAGTAATACAAATTGATAAGAATGACATTGTTCTCTGCATGATTGAAGATAATACAAACGTTCGACATCACGTATTTGATGAGGATGTGTTCTCATACATTACACGTCCGTAATTATAAGGGTTTTATCATTCTAGTACTACCTCACGAGATTCGAAGATTGGATAACAGGCCGGTAAGCCAAACTATTCAGACAGTTGGTAAAATGGACGCCAAATATTCTATTCACCCGTATGGTTTTCAGTGAGATAGTCACACGGAGATCTTACAAGCATTCAGGCTGTTGACAGGGTGACATACAAACACATTCTGTATTTTCTCCAATGAACTTACTGCGTTGTTGAAAATAAAATTAACATCCGATTAATAACAAATGATAAAACTAATATTTGATTTTATCTTTAAAACACCAGATTAAGATCCGATAGCAAAATTAGTAATCAATAATTAAATTACTTTAGCACGGTCTATATACATCCAGTTAAATTAATTTAGATGAGATCGTGCATGAACATCACTGGAAAATATATCAAATACGCCATTTCGGGGGTGTTTTGTATCAAACTGTAATTTATAAGATACATGATCATGTCTGTATGTGATCAACACATACTACATAGGTACCTAGATACATTCAAAATAGCTTCTATCTATCAGTACAAAAATAGGAATTACTTCTACTAAAAACAATAAGATTTAAGATATCAGTTAATTTCATTAGAAATAAATTATAATGTATGTATTCTAAAGCTATAAAAATTCATTAAGTATATCGCGCACGCCGACAATGGATAAGATTACGTCTTTATATTTAATATTTTATATATAATTCTACCATTCCATGTTAACTGTGGCTTTATTTTGTTTTCAATCTAAATTCATCAACAATGACTTTCAGAATATATCAGATTCATGAAGACGTTAGGGAATAGAAACTTCAATAATGTAGTGACTAACGATAAAATTAAACAGCAGCATACAACTGTTTCGACCTTCTAGGAATACTCAGTGGTGCTAATGGCCTTATCGGTTGAAACTGAGGAAGCGACTGAGGAAAACCTAAGTTTGACAAAATAAACATTAAAAACTTTTAAATTCTTTTGTATATAAGTTCAGGAAAACTCACTTGGAATGTCCTTTTGGAAGCAGTTATTCAGAGCACAGTCAAGTTAAGACACCTTGTGTTAAATACACCTTACGATGGAATCTAACAGTATAGGGCTGTAACCTGACAACGTTAGGTGAATACAAAATAAATGCCCTCCCCCAATTAAAAAGAATAAAAACAAAAACAAAAAACAAACAAAACAAAAAAGAACAAACAAACAAAAAAACAAAAACAACAAAAAAACAAAACAAAACAAAACACGACAAACGCCACAGTATCAACAGAGCATGACAAAATACACCAGTTTTGGTAAATAGGATATCTGCAGCAACAAAGTCGATAAAAAAATGGAGCTAAATGAAAAGCTAATAATTCACATTAATTATCTTAAGATAAGCACTATATGTTACTGAACTTTAATTGCTAAAAGCTACTTTATATCAACACTGAAGATATATAGAAACTACTTTATTTCAGTTAACTAGTTAGTATTATAATCAACAGTTTTGTGACATGAACAAAAACGAAGAAGTACATGAACCAAGGTTAAGAGCTAAAAACGTTTTCTTAAAAATAATCTGCTTCAGAATCACAATATTCCTAAGTTTGTATCGTATCATTGAGATTGGAAATTTTGTAAATGTGTTAAGCTTGTCCAGGATTCAATGTACTAAAACAGCATATTAAACATAATAGGCGATGAATTATAATAGACACTGAGACAAAATGGCTTGAAACTCGGCAGCTGTTATAAGTTGTCACCTGTCGAGTAATGATTCCACACACCTTGGACCTGTTGTATAATATCACCGAAGTGACTGGGAGTTTGATGAACACCAGTATATTATCGACTATCTTCTCCTCACCTGCACGAGATTGCTAGTGACGTAGACAAATTGTTGATATGTTATCTGTCACATGGTCCCTGTTACATTGTGCACCAATATAGCT